TATTTATGTTTATCCATACAGCTTTTCCTTCAACTTGCGTTACTTGTCTGCCTCTCAGATGAAAAGCTCACTACTGCCCCTAGAGGCCTGGGGCACTTCCGTTGTGTGACTTGATATGCAGCGGTTTCTTTTTGCAGCACGTTTCTGTTTGTGCAACGCACTCATGCATACGCATCTGGTTTGTGTATACGCACGTCATTTGCCCCCGTCAGCCACTGTAATTTCGACGTCCGATATCTCCATGATTCTAAGTCCCACAGCCATGACGTTTGATGAGCACACAGACAAAATTGTTTCCAGTAGGTCTAAATCATTTAACGGCTCTAGTGCAGGGTGAGTTTTAAATTATTGACCCTTGAAATTGGGGGGAAAGTGTAGAACTTTCCAATTGACGGTGGTATCGAGGCCCCAGAAAGTTCCTTAAAGTGTGTTTAAATATGAATGCATCCAAATTTCCTGCTAAAAGTCCAGTCTTGGGTAAACTTTTTGTTAACTTTTGGGGCCTCTAATGTCAGTAAAATGGTGATGTGGATTCAGTGGTAGGACCGAAAGAAGTGGCGTGCATAGGGGTCTATGTTTTGTACGAGATACGAGATGCTGCCATGTTGGAATTAAACAACACACGAGGCTTATTTAGTCACACAGAACGTTCCTGTACATGGACACACATCTCAGCTACTCTCATGTATGTTGAGACACATCATGGAAAGTGGTTCAGCGGTACGAGTGAAACAGGACGTCAGCGCTGCTCTAAAAACAGGCCGTGCCGCGGTTTGTACTTTCTGAGGTTTGAGCTTTGGGTTTTTTCATCTGTGGAGTTTGTACGTTCTCGCTGTGCCTGTGCGGCTTTTCTGTGGTCTCTCATGCACGGTGGCTTTACTGGTGAGTCTAAACTGGTCACAGGACTGAATTTCTATACCTTTGTCCTAGATGTTGCACCCTTACAGGAACATTTAGGTTATTAAAAACCAATTCAGAGCACATGAAACGAAATAACTCTGCAACATGTCTGTGAAGATTCTCAGTCATCCAGGTCGTGGTTGTTCTCGTAGATTAATCAGAGCAACTGGACTTGCTTGAGTTTCTTGAAGACTAGTTGGGCGTTCCAGATACTTATATCCTTAAGGAGCAGGATGTAAGTATCTGAAACTCCCAACTAGTCGGTCATAACTGATGAAGCCTCTTGGATGAGAGGTGAAACGTCTTCAAGGAACTCAAGCAAGTCCAGTTGCTACGATTAATCCACAACAGGGGTGTCCAATCCTGGTCCTCGAGGGCCACAGTCCTGCATGTTTTAGATGTTTCCCTCTTCCAACACACCTGATTCAAATGATCAAGATCATTATCAGGCTTCTGCAGAGCTTGATGATGAGCTGATCATTTGAATCCGGTGTGTTGGAAGAGGGGAACATCTAAAACATGCAGGACTGTGGCCCCTCGAGGACCAGGATTGGACACCCCCGATCTACGAGAACAACTCTGCAATGCATTTGAGAATGAACTTGCATCCAGGCTGCTCCTTGATGTCCTGTAGGTGTTCAGGAACCTGTAGACCTCCGATAGGGCAAGATCTGAGATGTAGTGTGAAGAATTTAAGGTGTACCGAGGCTCCACAAGCTCCGAAAGACCTAAACTCTCTGCATGCTTGTTAGAAAATGTGTTGTAGATTAGGTTTATGGTTGATGACTATGGTTGACTTCGGTTGCAGGGAGGAACCACGACACAGACTCATGTGGTGCTTGATGACCTCCGACCTGTTTAAAACGAACCAAGATCAACTAGAATATCCTTCATGTATCCCTGTGACGAATGTGCAGAGCTAACTTTGCAGCAAAACTTGTCCTTCCAGTGACGAAAACAGAAACATCAGCGCAGAACAAACGGCCACGGTGCTGGTTTTCTGTAATTATTAATCATGATTACATCAAGCGGCGCGTATGGCTGAAGTTCATGACAAATCTAATCTCAGTGATCTAATCAGGACTCCTCATTGTTCTGTATCAGTAAGCTACACCATAATGTCTCAGCTGTAAGTTATCGATCATAAAGCTGATGATAGCGCTTTAGTGACATCTTCCATTACATTCCAAGATAATCATCCGTTGTTCGGTGGAAGTTCCCGCCCCGCTGTGTGCACCATGTGACCAAGATGATTTCACTTCTTTTTTTTTTTCTTTCACAAGACTAGAAGCCTCGTGAAGATGAAATGTTTCAGCGTTCAGGTTTACTGAAAAGCAGCTGCAGCACTTTTCCTGCTTGACCGAGTTTGAAAAGTTTGGTGTCAGATTGAATCTGTCGTAAGGCGGCGGCTGATCTCAGTTGTAGTTTCTGCTTCATTTTATTTTGTAACTCCACTGTTGTGTTTTCAGTTTGACTTTGATTATGGAAGGAGATAATGTGCAGATTTTTCTTTTCACTAAAACCAGATTACCTCAGTTGACGGCGATGCCCTGAGTTCACTCTACCTGCAGCCTGATTGGCCTAAAGTGGTTCTAAGCCAACACAAAAAGCTGCACTTTTCTTTTTATTAAATAATTTAAACCTTATAAACTTGAATTAGGGCTGCAAGGTGGTTAGCACCGTCGCCTTGCAGCTAGAAGGTCACCGGTTCGTGTCTCGGTTAGGACACCCGGGATCTTTCTACGTGGGGTTTGCATGTTCTCCCCGTGCAGCGTGGGTTCTCTCCGGGTTCTCCGGTTTCCTCCCACAGTACGATAGACTGGTGACCTGTCCAGGGCGTCTCCTGCCTTCGGCCTGAGTCAGCTGGGATAGACTCCAGCCCCCCTGCGACCCTAGTGAGGATTAAGCGGTGTATAGATGATGGATAGATGGAAACTTGGATTACGTGGATTACTCACTTGGATTAAATAAACTGAACCTGCAGCCTTCTTTAGGTTGGACCGATTTAGAGTTCTGAAAACGTCACAGGTCGTCTGTTCCTGCTGACGACAAAAACAACGGATTAAACTAGAAGGCTGACGATGAAACGTAAGACGAATGAGAATTAGATCGGACGAGAGCAACAACTTATTTGTACTAAACTCGGCTGAACTGCAGGCAGTGTTTGCACGGAGCAGACAGATATGGAAACAAATTAAAAACATAAGTAGTAAAATATCTATAACATGTAAAGCATTTGGTTTGTCCAGATTCTGCAAAAAACACAAAATTCTATGTTTCTCTGTGCAGCTAAGAAGCCATTTATGACTCAGCTGTGTCCAACAGTAACGTGGCAAAAAATCAGGAAGTTTTGTGTTAAACTCGGTTGAACTGCAGGCAGTGTGTTCACAGAGCAGAGAGGATGTAAATATGGAAATAAACCAAATATTTATAATATAGAGTCACTGTTTTTTTTGCTAGAATTAGAAACACCTGTGGACACTTGAAAAATAAGTTGTACATGTTGATTCCAGCTTATTCAATTTCTGTACAATAATTATTTAAAGAAATTCAACTTAAGTTTATGCTTTTTTTTTTAATGCTACGTGACATCATAACTGTAAAACATTTCTGAGTTCCACCTGGACACCGAAAATGAAGTGAAACTGAGTGAAAAAATCAAAATATCAATGAAAGCGTGCAGGATGATTAGCCAGAAAGAAAAGGCGAGAGTCTGTCGCTGTTTGCTGTATTTGACAAAGCAGACATTTATGTGTGCAAAGTTCCTACAAAAGACGTTTCCTGCAGTATATCAGCTCATGTACTAAATATAAATATGTTAGTTTCACTTTTTCACTTTGTGTTTACTGTGTGAATCTGAATTTCCTCATTCTGAGTTGAACTTAAAGACTAAATGGTTCACTTGTTCACCTCACTTTGAGCTAGCATCTCGTGGCTACGTTAGCCGCTGCTAGCGTAGCACACCTTTAGGTCCCGCTGAAGTCGTTCCAGTTGGGATGTTTTCTGACAGATATTGCGATTTGATTTACGTTCAGTTGACTATTCAAGGTATAATAGATTAAAACAGTGTGATGGAGCAGAAAATATCATTGAAAGTGTCGCTGTCACGACTTGAAATTGAAAAACCAAAGTTTAAGCCCAGAGTCAGACCAACACAAATCCTAAACTTCAACCTTTGCAAGTTGCAAATTGGACTGCTTTTGATAACTTTTGGGGGGGAAATCATAATAAAGTAGGTTTTGACCATGAAGATGAAGGCAGGGAAGAAAAAAGAAGCAAAATCTCTGGTTCTGCTTCATTGGGTTTGTGTCCTTTTCTAAAATAACCGCTGTGGATGTGACACGTAGATGCTGCTCAATCAGTCCACTCATCTCTACAAGTGTTTTTTTATATATCAAAGACAGATTAACCTGCTTTTATGACTGACTATGAATGATTATAAAGGTAATAAGAGTTCAAGTTCTGTGTTTGATAAGCGTCACATGCTGAACCGTCAGTAACGGGAGGTTTTTATGTGACTGTTGATGCGAGAATGAAGATGTAAAACACAGCAGCTGCACTCTGAGTCGTCCTCTGAGTCCAAATACAGCTTCGTGATCGACGCTGTCCCACCTGTGATCACCTGTAAATCAGGTGAATGTTAGTCTGCGTCAGAAACCAGAGTCCTCGGCAGCAAAAAGCGAACGGTGTCACGTAGTAGATGGCGTCTTTTAGAGCTGCTGTAAACTCATCACCTCATCCTCATAAACCCAGTTCAAGTTCTGACAGGACGCGTCGACGTCACAGAACTGACCACTGAGGGAAGAGCTGATCGTCTCACGTGCAGCCGAGGCCACGAGGATCCTGTTAGGAGCTTATAAAAGCAGCTCCTGGCCTTTGGACTCGATGGAGAGCTTTAATTGTGGCAATAACTCAGTGAGGGAACCTGCGGACGCTCATGTACACACCGACGCTCCACATTCGGACACTTCCTGGTTCGAGCCCAGCGTTTGTTTTTTAACTCTGTGCTGCCACCTGCTGGACTCAACGAACACTCCTCGTCTCTGTGTGTTGTGTCCACGGTGCAGAAGGTGTTTAACCGATGTCTTGTTCATCTGCAGGATCTGGTTGACTGGACCAAGCCGCTGGCCTGGCAGGTGGGGCACCTCGGGGAGAAGTACGACGCCTGGGTTCACCAGCCGGTCGACCGGCCCATCAGGCTGTTTGGAAACCCCTTCATGGAGGCCAGCACCAAAACCTCCTGGTAGGACCGGAGCCTCTCTGTCACCCTCAGTGTTCAAGTATTGCACATCTGGCCCTGCAGTTTCAACAAAGTTTCAAGTGAAAAATCATCACCAGGCTCCAGGATAAACGTGACGAATGTCTTCTGAACAATTAAGCCCCTAAACTCTGAGTGACTCCTTCTTTTTTTTTTTGCTTCTGTCACATCTTTCCTCCCGTTGTCACTGCAGCACTCTGTGGAAACAACAATGAAGGAGAGAGAACTCCGACGTGTGTAATTTGTGCAATATAATCACAAAAAAGAGAAACGACAGTAGCATTTATGTGCCTATTTATTATATAAGTGCCCAAAAGTGGTACCAATACTGGGAAATAAAGGGAAGGTCTGTACAAGACCATAGAAGATCTTTTACATTTTTAAATTAAATGGGGGTTTTTTGTGCAGTATGACACCAAAAAAAGAAAAGTTATTTGATTGTATGTTTCCAAAAAGTAAAACAAAAAACAAAACTGGAAGCAACATTTACAACATTTTGTCCAAGTAGCTGTGAATGATGCCTAGAAAAAAATAACGTTAGTTCTACATATTATGAACGTGTTAATACTTAGATTTAAAGTTTGTTCTAAATGCGTCTCCTCTCTGGCTGCAGTTCAGCCGAAAATATCAAGATTTCAAGCTTAGATTTGGTTCGTTTTCTCGACTAAAGCTCTCGTCACAGATGAGGAGATCAAAACCTGTTGGATTCTATGAGTTTTTACAGTTTCTAATAAAAGCCCTGATTTTCTAAAGTTTTTTCTGTTTTTAAACCACAAATAATCTCCGTTTTGACGTTTGAGTTTGAGAACAAAGCAATTTGGGTAAAGTACAGCGAGCTTAAGCTTCTATTTAAGTTTCTTGATGTTGCCGATGAGCACTTCAAGGACTGGAAAGGTAAAAATCTGACTTTCCAGGCTGATAGATGTGGAGTATTGGGGATTGTTGTTGTTTAAAGACGAGATGTCTGCTTTGTGTACCGACTGGCTGCAGTTCTGCTGAAAAATCCTCAATCTTTTGTGACTTTCAGCTGAAGCCGTTTTTTTCCCTCTTTTTTTTACAGTTTGTAGTTACTGAAAATGATAATTAGCACAATTTAAAACTCAGATTTGTTAAAATTTCAGCACATCACAGATTAAAAGTTTAAAATACGATGATTCTCTCTGTTTTCATGGCTCGTATTTTTAATATTCTTTGTGTTTTTACAGTTTCTGGCTGATTAATTTAAAGAAAGAAAACAACTTTCTGTTAAATAATACATAACCTTCCATCTCAGACTCTCTTAAATGCAGTTTTAACGAACTGCAGCAGCCGTCAGGTGGTTTGACTGTTTTCTGCTGTTTCACTTCCACTCCGTCGCTCTTATCTCTGGCCTCCATCCTGCTGCACATGACGCAGCAGAAAGTGGCAGCAAAACGTGACATTTATTGATATTAGCGGATGAAGATGGTGAGCGAGCTGCTCTGTGCTTGCAGGTACTGGGTTCCGGTGGTGTGGCTCCCCATCGTGTTCTATCTCAGCTGGTTCTGCTACACCTCGCTGGCACAGGGCACCACCAGGATAGAGCTCACGTCAGGTAACTCACTCACAGGATAAAACCACAGCCGTCTGCATGCAGCAAATATCATATTCATCATTTATAGAAGGTAAAGCTTCCTCCTGATAAAGTAAAGCAGAACTTTATGTGCATCTGTGGGTGTTTTGGTTCAAGTTTGCAGGAAAACGCAGCAAAAACAAACCAGATGTGACACGTTGATGTTTTAGTTGTATTGAGGACTTTTTTTAAATGTAGGTTAATATCTGTTGTACCAGAATGCTGCTTAGATTATGGAAAATATGATTTAAAAAAAAAAAAAACAAAACAGCTTGAACAAAATAAAGTACAATTATTATAAGTCAATAACGTCACCTGGATCCTGAAAAAATAGAAGAAAATCAATTAAAACTGATTTTTTACATTTATTTAATTTTTATTTTATTGTATTTTTTTAATTAGCTGGTTCATTCACTTTTGTTGGAAAATTGATTATAAATTATAAATGAATTCTAAACTAATTTTGAATAGTTTAATAGAATCTAAAATTATTATTTAATATAATTTAATACAAAACTTTTTTTTTTTTACAGCTGCAACAATTAGTTGATTCATGTACTTTAGATGGGATAAAAAATATATTTATTATTATTATAAATGATAAATTAATTACTACTTCATTTTATGTAGTTTGATATATTAATTTAATATAATTTAATTCTATATATAATTTCATAATTTGCAGTTGATTCGTTACAAATGAACATATTAATTGTAGATAATTACTTTATAATAATTTGCTGGTTTCAGATGTTGAGGACTGTTGAGCGTTGACCTTTTTAGAAACTTAATTTTGTACTTAAGCAGGTTTTTGGGCTTTTTAAGGAAACTGAATTTGTGTTTCATCTGCATTTTCGTGCATGAGATCACGCAGCATGTTTGTTGTCATCACATCATCACATCGTATCAGAGTCAGAAGGATTTTTATTGGTCTCTGAGAGAAAACTGCTCATGTTAGAAGTTTTATATTAGAAAGAATAAACACGAGTAGAAGACGTGTCCTCAAAACACAGAAGCATTAAATGTAAAAATTGCACAAGGAAGACACAAGCATGAAGTGTAGTAACCAGTGCTGGAGCTACATCTGTGCTTATTGCATGTGCGGCCGTCTGCATGTGTCCTCAGACTTCTCCATCCCGGTCCATAAGTACATGTTCGTGCCGCTGTTTCTGCTCGGCTGGTTCTTGTGGTCCTTCATCGAGTACTGCATCCACCGCTTCATCTTTCACATGAGACCTCCGGCCCATAACTACTACCTCATCATGCTGCACTTCCTCCTGCACGGACAGCACCACAAGGTACCGAGCGGCGCCGAGGCCGTCCGCTTTATAGCTTTATATGGCTTGTTATGAGCGGTTCCCTCTTCCTTTGTTTTAGTTTCAATATTAACTCCTCTGACCTGGATCAGAGTTTGATCAGCAGCACGTGTGTTTTTATCTGAACTCGTGATCCAGAATGACTTCAGACCGACATGTAGAGAAAAAAGGCTGCAGCTGGAAGAAGAGTTTTAACAAATAATATGATTTAGGGATTTAAGAAATAACAGGAGCGCACAGTGCTTGATTTATTTGTTGCTCCTGTCACATTTTTCCTCACTGTGGACTCATTTTTCACTGTAGTATAAAGTCCTGAAGCTCTATGGGAACAGAACAACCAGAAGAAGAGGGAACTCAGAATCTGCAGTATGACACAGTTATAATGCCATAAATCATTAACAAGAGAAAAATGCAACTGGAATTTCTTTAAAAAATGTATTTTATTAAAATCTACACACCTGGACTCAAGATGCACAACATTTTTTAAATTGCCAAAGGTGTTACCAACACTGGAAACAGAATGGTGGCCGTACTCGCTGTAAATATTTGACTATTTAGGTTTTTAATTAGTTTCTGCACTCGTCTCCGTGTAAACACTTCCTGCAGTTCAGCTGAAAAGTTCACGAATTCCTGTCATGTGACTGCTGGTCACAGCTGAGTCTCTGATGGCTTCCTGGTTCTGTCGGGTAACGCAGAATTTTTAGTTTTTTACGGAATCTTGATGGAGCAAACGGTTCATTTTTGGTGATTTTTTTTAACAGAGACGTGTTAAATTTTTAATGAAATATCAACATTGTAGGTTTAGATTCGGTTGTTTCCTCACTGAGCAGCACATCACAGATGACTAGTCGATGAACTGCTGAAACGTTCAACAGTTTCCTGCTGATAAATTATGAAATGTGGGTGATTTTTTTTCTTCTTTCAGTTACAGACGTCCTGCCTCTTAAACCTACTGGTGGGTTTCAGGGTTCAGAGTGTTTTCAGCCATTTTCAAACAGAACCTGTAAATTCATTTCAGGCTTCTGAAATTAGCATTTAAGTTTTGTCTAAGATCTAAATCCAATATATTTACTTAATCTGAATAAGTGCTTCTGCCTCAAAGTCGATGCTTTGACGTGTCAGTTCAAGATTCTGGATTCTACTTACATTTGTTTGTGTATTTATACGATTTAACTGATGACAGACGCTGTGGTGATGCTTCTCCTTTAACCTTGTGAACCCCAAAACCTTCCAGAGGGTTCAAAACAAGTTATCTTGAAGAAAATCACCCACATTACACTTTGAACTAATCATGTGTGGCTGCTATACTGATGTCTCTCGTTTAAAAATGCATCTGTTTGCAGCAGATTCTTTAAAAAACTAAAGTTTCTGAGCTCCTCGGTGCGACTGAGAAGCCGTAAGTGCACAACGTTTCTGCTGAACTGCAGGAAAAGCAGATATCTCGTCTCGAAACAAAAACAAATCACTAAAATTCCAGCATTTATCAGCAAGAAAGTGACAGATTTTTAACTTTCTGACAATCCGTGATGTCCAGAAGCGTAATCACATCTAAAACTTGTAATATTTCATCAAAATCACTTGACTTTAAACCTCAGGCATCAAAAAGGACTTCAGGGATTTTATTTTGTCGAAAACGGGTTCATTAACTGTCTGAGTCCTGCAGCCCACCGCTGGGTTTGAGCGTCGTCTTTAGAAAATCACGTCATTTAACAGAGCCAGAAACTGTTACCTTCAGCTACTCATCCATGATGCGCCGAAATTTAACCAAATCTGACCTTAAAATTGTGAAATTTCAACAAAATCATCTTTTCGACTAAACTGCAGCATGTATTTTCCCAAAATACACATGCTGTACGGGCTGATTGCAGGTTTTTATTCAACTCTTGATCTTTTTTTGGCATTCTAACTGTGTCGTACTGAACAGAAGACGTTCCTGAGTCCTAGTCCTGGTTGTTCTGTTTCCACTGAGCTGCAGGATTTTATGTTGCAGCCAAAAATGACAGTGAAGACAAAAGTGACGGGACAACGGCTAAAAATGTGAAGCTGCTACCTCAAGTTTTCCAAGTAGCTTTAGTGACATCAGTGATTGTCAGTAAATCCTGACCATCATCATAAACTCGTGTTTCCAACAGTCTCCGTTCGACGGCTCCCGGCTGGTCTTCCCTCCCGGCCTGGCCTCCATCGTGGTGGGAGGCTTCTACGTGCTCCTCCGCAACACGCTGCCGGAGATCCTCGGGGCGTCGGTGTTCGTCGGAGGCCTCTGCGGCTACGTCGTGTACGACATGATCCACTACTACCTGCACTACGGCTCACCAAAGAGAGGCTCGTACATGTACGGCCTGAAGGCGTATCACGTCAAACACCACTTTGAGCACCAGAGAGCAGGTGAGGACGCCGCCACATGAGAACAAACCATCTGAAATGTGAAGTTATCGGTTAATCCGTTGACTAGTTTATTGATAAATCAGTTAGTTGTTGGGTCTATAAAATGTTAGACAATGTTGATCAGTGATTCCTGAAGCACAACATGACAGAAGGTTTGTGCACAATCCAAAGAGAAACCAGAAAATAGAAAACCAGAATGGTACTAGGTTAAAGTACTTGTGGATTTTGTTATTTTTGTAAGATTATTAAATGTTTTCCATGTAAAATCCAGATGTACTTATCTGTGTTTACATGTATAATATACAGTATGGCACAATAACCACGTCTGAAATGTAAAATTAATGTAAAATGTGAAATTATCTCCATTATCAGTCAATCTATAGACTATTTATTGACCAATAAGTTCGTTTTTTGGTTCATAAAATGTAAGAAAATGGTGAAAAATGTCGATCAGTGTTTCCCGAAGCATGAGATGACAAATATTTTGTGCACAATGCAAAGATATTCAGTTTGCTGTCATAGACGAGGAATTAAAAATGAAAATATTCACATTTAAGAAGCTGGAATCAGAGAATTTTGACGATTTTCTTCTTAAAAACTTCCTCAAACGGATTGTCGGTTATCAAAATAGTTCAAAACTAACTAATAAATCAACGCAAAACCGGCATAAAATGGAAATAAGTAAAGTAAAAGTACCGTGAAATGTTACTGGATCACAGTACTTGTAGGTTTTATTATTTTTGGAAGATTATTAAATGTTTTCCACGTAAAATCCAGATGGAATTATCTGTGTGTCCATGTACAATATAAAAGAAATGAGAAAATATTCACATTTAAGAGGCTAGAAGCTTAGAAGTTGGACTATTTTTCTTTAAAACTTACACAAAAAATCAATGAATCGATGCATAAAATGGAAGTAAGTGAAGTAAAAGTACCTCCAGATGGTACTAGATTACAGTACTGGAGTAAAGTTACAAGTAACTGGCTTTAAATAAATCTGGAACTGACCTGTTTGTTTTCACTCCTTTGCCACAATCACATTAGATTTTTGCTATTTTATGAAATGATTATAGATTTTGCATCTAAAATGAATCGATTAAATGAACCTTTTGTTCTATAAAATGTCAGAAATTAGACAATATTCACATTTAAGAGGCGACAATCTGAGTATTTTAGCTACTTTTCTTTATAACATGCACAAAAACATCAATGAATCGATGCATTTAATGACAGTAAGTAAATAAAGTGACAAATCAAATCTCTAACTGCCTGTTTGTTGCTGTTCCTTTGTCATCATCATGTTGTGAGGCAGTTACACATTTGCATGACTTTCTGTGTTTCCTGTGCAGGCTTCGGCATCACCAGCACGTTCTGGGATTACCCCTTCAACACAGTGATCCCCGATGAGAAGTTCTAGCGTTGGAACGGCTCCGCTGAAGGGCGGCAGGACTTATCAGCCTCCTCCTTAGCAACCCACACGCTCTGTTCGCCTCCCGACACCAAGCAAGACTCTCCTGGGCCCCTGCAGCTAATCGCACGCTAACCGGTCTGCACTATTTACTCACCGTGATCCTCCCCCAAAGGCCTCTCTGTGCCATTTGTAACCACCAAACTCCTTCACCTGCCAAGATTTCGCCACTTAGAGGAAGACGCATTACGTGCACACGTTTGAGGGAAACGTAGAAACCTGCAGGGCTCATCGAAACTCACGTAATAATTAAGAAAAATACGATTTTAACAGCCGAATGAATGTGCATGAATGTAAAATCTGTTGTAGATGGAAAAGCAAGTGATAGAAGGTAGGTGAATGTAGGACAAAAACAGTGATGGAAAGTGTGATTGTGTGTGAAAAAACTCAGGAAATATCTCTACCTGCATGTCACAGCTTGTGTTCCTCTTTGTTTTGCTGCTGCTGCTGCTGTCGACCGACTCCTCCGGTCTCCAGGAAACCCTTCCGGTTCACTTGTTAATTTATTAATTATCCTCCGAAGCTGCAGAGGCGAGATTACACTGTAGTGTGCTGACGTACTGTTCGGAAAAACACAAAAACCAACACTGTGGAGATATATTTTTGCAAGTCTGTTGTTATGTTTGTTTGTTTTTTTTCCTCGTTAATGAAACGACAAAGATGTAAAAATAAAATAATGATCATTTTGTAAGATGTTTTGTACAGAAGGAGATCAGATATATAGAGAAGCAGAGGAAGAGGACGATGGCGGATGCAATGTTCGGATGGATTTAGATCCGAGGGATGATGGGAGTTTGGGGCGTTGTCATGGCGACGGAGGAGACGGAGCTGGAGGCATGAAGCCCGGGCCGTCGGGCCTCCTGCTGGGGGGACGTCGGAGGCCGAGAAAAGTTTGTAGACATCGTACTCGGCCTCCGACGATCCTCGCGGGATGAAGACTCAGCGTCTGACTCGACAGCAGGAGGTCTCCATGGCGACGGGCGGATCCTCGAAGACAAAAAAAACAAAAAAACAACAAAAAAACGTCTCCTCCTAAAAAAACAACAACACCCAAACGCAGAACAAAACTTACTTTTTACACAAATAACTAGAGCACAGAGAGGAAAAATCTAAATCATGTTCTATTTTCTAGCTTGAATACAGATTTACATCATCATATATACATGTGTGTGTATATTCATGTAGTCTCACCTGAATGTTGAATAACGTGCAAAATCCGACTCTTGTGAAGAAGAGAAAACTCTGTTTGCTTTCTCTGTCAATGCAGCAATAATGATGAAGTCTTCAGGTTAATGTTCAAAGATTTTTGTGACCAAATCTAATATAAAAGGTTAAACAGGGCTTGCTGGGTTGAGCGAAATTCCAAATGTGTCATGTTGTCTACAGATATCCCTTAATATTAAAAAACAACAAAAAAACACTTTGATATGTTGATTATGAAATGTTTTGTTTTTGTTTCCAGAAAGAACCAAAAAAAAATAAAGTCAAATCTCTATTTTTGATGCTTGTAATGACGTCGGAGACCAAACTAATGACGATGTGATTGTCGACGGCTGCTCGTTGAAGTGAAATGATTCCACCTGCCGGGTCCTATTTATGTGTATTTAAAGATGGAAACAGCAGCTCTGATTCCGACACCAGACGACTTTTTTTTCCTTTTGTGCTAAATGACGACGTAAAAAGAGATGAAATAACGTTTTCCTAAATCTGTTTACTTAAATATCTAATAACTATATTTTGGAATTTTAAATGTCTATGCAAATGCAAACGTGTTTGTAAATAAATGTCTGTATATTTCTGACGCTGGGCTCGTCCTGTGGTTTGTGTTTCCACCGTTTAGATTTTAAAGACAGTGTTGAACAGCCTCTGGCCACCAGGGGGCGACAGGGTGCATCGTGGGAAATGGAGGATCCACAATTCAATTACTAAATCATCCTTTAAACTTAAGTTTTTTGATAAATACAGAAGGCAGTAATCACCCAACTTGAAAGTGCGAAAAGCTGTTTAGCATCAATTTATTTATTTTGACAAGTCTTTACCAATTCAAGCTTTTTAATAAATGCACACAAAAGACTTTCTGGGATGTTTTTAGATGAATATTGGTGCTGAAATGTGGAAAAAATATATATATATATAACTTTGCACAACCACTGCTGCTTGTGTATGTCTGCTCTGGGAAAATATATATTTTTTTAAACAATTTACAAATTTTCCTTGTTTCTTAAATTATAAATGATAACTTGTGAAATGACTAAAAATTATTTTTAATCATAACAACAGGCCACAACTGTAAATAATGTCTGCATTTAAAAAAAAAAAAAAAAAAAAGGATTTATATAAACAGTAAATCACTTACGGCGTTCTATTGTGAAGCTACACAATTTTTTTTAAAACCGTATTTAAAACAGCAGAGATTATTGTTGTTTCCCAGATTTTCTCCTGTTTTGTAGAATTTCTGATAAAATCTGATAAATTAGTTTATTATTGTGTGACATCAGCTAAAATGTTGCTTCACTTTAACTTCACTTTGTCACTTGACTTTAATAGGTTATTTTTCTCACAGTTTTATGAGATAATAAGTTTGTGTCATAATTACAAAAACATTTTGTTATCAATCAGATCACTTTTATTGTCGCCGTACATCGTACAACGAAATTCACTCGATGCTCTCATATTAAAACTATAGATTAAAAAAACTAAAAACAAACAAGCCGTAAAACCAACAAACATAAAACATGTAGTTATGAAGTGAACACGTCTCGTTATCATGTAGAAAAACATCTTTTATGATATTAGAATGTAAAACATCCGTTTTCTTTTTCTGGCGTTGCAGCAATAAGCTCATGTAGGAGGGGAATCATCAGAAACGTTTTTAAAGAAAAAAGCAAATATCAAAACGGTAAAATGAGGTCAGATTTTCAACAACAAGCCCACAAAACAATATTTACAAAGAGCACAACGCATGACATCTCTTCTCCCTTCATTTATATGAACATTATTCTTCGACCTTTTGAACTTTTCATTAAAACGTCTTCTTGAGAACATAAATAGAACGTGTAGAAGGTGTTGTGGGAACGTTTCCTGCTCGCTCAAGAATTAAAATAATCAAAACAAAGTGTAAACGCAGATGTAAAGGTCTGAAAACAACCTGTTTTGGCGACTAGTATGATCCCTGTAATAGCCCCTTAACCTCTTAACCTCCTTGAGGCTCTACTGAACCTAAAACAAACTCCAGCGACGTTTTATTTTTAAAAATAATCCGTCATCTGAGGATTTAACAACATCTGGAGAGCATTTTTTTAACGTTGTCTTGTACTTGTGTAAAATAATCTGACAACATTGTGCAAAAACCTTGCAGGAGCCGTATTTGAAACATCCTTGAGGCGCTCTGTGAGCATTGTGGGAATGTTCTCTGGCAGCAGCAGCAGCAGTGTTGGTGCATTAGGACCCAGTGGCTGAGCGGCAGCAGGAGGAGCCTGAGCAGAACCGGACGGCCTCCACGCCCTGCAGCTCTGGAGGTTCCTCCGCATTCCTGCAGCGCTCACACAAACAGGCCCAGTGCTGGAGGAAGCTCATGAGGCTGGTGAGTGTCGCCCTGCACTTCCTGCTCTGTTTATGTTCCACACATTGTTCATGTTCCTCCGTGTGTGTGTGTGTGTGTGTGTGTGTGTCCCTCCAGGAGCTCTGACGGGTTCTGCTCATAGGACCGGAGAACCTCAGAACCTCCTCGCACATCCACGCCCAGCCAGGTGCTGTATTTCCTGACTCATGCTGTGTGTCCAGGCTGCTGCTGCACAACTTTGTCCCAACAGGACGACACTCTTTGGTCTGGTTTCTCCACAGCAGCAGGTTCCTGAAACGTTTGCTTCAGGTTCATGAGTGAAAGCTGCAGCAGGAAACTGAAAGTCCAGCCTCACAGGTTCACCAGCAGCAGCAGCTCCACAACCTTAATCTGATGCTGCTAATAAAACATGCAAATGCAGGACTAAGGATGAGAACTGCTGCAGTCTCACATGCAGGCGATGCAGCAGGAAGGCTTTAAGCAGAACTTTAAACAGGAAAATGAGCTCCGGCTTCTCGCTCACCAACTAAAGTTTACTCATCAGTCAAGTTGTAAAATGCAAACAGCCCGGTTATGACACTGAGCTGAACTCAGTCGAGTGTTTCTTAACTCCTAAAAAGTGAAGAAAGCTTCCAGTAAATCCTAAAAGTTGCCACAAAGTCTAACTGCTCTGTGGTTTTAACCAACACTGTCAAGTACAAACAAGCAGAGAAGTGAGAGTCTGAGCTGCTGCTGCTCAGCGTTCAGCTGCTCTGACAGTCACAGTCTGACATGTTTACATCTGATAATTAACTCTGAAAAGAAGCTCAGACTGATGGGATGTCACAAGTTCTACAGATATTTGGTCCTAAACTAAATATAAATTAACTAAATATGACATTTAATCAGCTTTAGTAGCTGCTTGTTTATTGTGAGCGATTTGAAGATTGTAGCAAAAAGCATCACAAAGATAAAATCAACGAAACTGTAAGAAGATAAATGTTAATTAACAGTTTTTAACTGTGATTGTTTTGAGCAATATACTGTTGTTTTACAGATTTTCCCTATTTTATTAAATTACAGATAATATCTAGTAAAACCACAGAAAATAAATATTAATCTTTATGTTGACCATAAAAAGAAGCCCAAACTGTAAATAACCTTTGACTTTAAAATCACACTATTTTATTGTATTTAAATCAGCAAAGAATATGATTATTTCATTTTTAAAACTGCCATAATTTGAAAGAAAAAATATGTATTTAACCTCTTAAGAACGCAGAGAATAAAAAGTTTTAAAAAATAAAAAAATAAAGTAAATAAAAAATATATTAAAAATGTAACTATTTTATTTATTTATCTTTATATTACTACTTTTATTAGCCTTTTCTTTTATGGATTCATTTTTGAATAATATTGCCACATTATTTATTTTTTATTTAATTTATAATCTATTCTTCTTTCTAATTTATGCTTTTATTTTATTGTTCTTTTATTGATTTGTTTTTGTAATTTGAGGCTCTCACTACTCCATAAAT